GTGCTATAAACTAGTACAAAATTAAAAAACTTAATTTTAAGTAAAGTTCTTTGAAATATATCTGTATTACTATTATGAATGAAAACTCTTATCCATTTTTAATTTGGAATTATATTAATTGCCATGTGTCATGTTTTTATTATTATTGTCAATTTTCTGCGGATAGCTGATAAATTAATCTATTGTCAATTCAATATGATTATATTATGATGTTCAAATACCATTTTGTTATTCATAAAAACGGCCTTTTTATTACTTCTCTGTCATACTGATCCATCAATAAATATTTCTTACGTGTTGCAGCAGACCAGCAAAATTTATTAATTTTATGGTCCTTTATATTTACTCATCCCTGATTCCATCCAATTATGGCCGCTGATGAAGCGGGAGGTAGACGTTCGCTTTCGGTCATAGGCGTACTGAAAACTAAAATTTCTTATCCTCGTATTCAGAATTATAAATAGCAATAAAAAGGATAAAGATAAGTAAAACTTTATACTGATAAGTTTGCTGTACCAATATTAAAAAAATTGGTAGTAGGAAATATTATTTCATAATATTATGACATGATAATGTTATAATGTAATACTATAAAGTAAAGTAAAAGATTTGAAGTTAACATCTCCTTTTTGCTGCCAGGGCTAATTTGGACGGGGCCTACTTTGTTTACGCGGAATCCGAACAGCGGTCCTCGGTCAATGACCGAGCAAGTGTCTAAATCGACTCTTACTCACGAGATATCCGATCTCATCCGGCCTTGAACCGGCGTGAATGAGCAGTGTGTGTCAAAATATTTTACACTTTTGCCTTTATTGGACAACAGCACGATACAGAGTTTCGAACTGGTCACCCGTCTATCCACTAGTATCGCCTTACGTCGCTTAACTTCGGTGTTCTAATGGGAACCGGTGTTTCGACGTAGCTGGACCGTTGGTTGCCCGTAATACTATAGCTACAACCGTTATAACACTAGTTATACCACCCCGCATAAATTCAGTATTATTATAAATAAGTAATTTATTTCACACCCCTTAAAGTGTAGCACAATTAGAATCATAAAAACGATGCCACTTAAAGTTACATAATGTTTATAATGTTAATTTTAAAGGTCGTTTTACATAAAAATTGTTTATCTGTTTTTATTTATGATACAAAACCCGCTTGATCATAAAACTTTTTGATCATGTCGATGAGTTTTTTTTACATTGAGTATGTATGGGGCTTAAGAAGCAGCGTGGTGAAGGCGTTGTTCCACTGTTCGCATCTTAAACATTGTCAGCTGCCATAAAAAAATTATTATTAAAATTCTAATAAATTAAATTTTACAGAATTCATAAGCAAAATTTTAAACTAAAATTGGCTGTAATACTAAATCTAAATGAAAATAAAATATTAGTACGCCTATGACTCAAGAGTTTGGTTTGGTTTGGTGGCGACACGTGCGAAGAGATATGCATGGCTTCCACATTTCGAGAGGCGGGGTGAGACAAATCAAGTGGTGGGAGAGAATATGGCCGTAGATGCCAGGTCTAGGAAATATTCCCTAACATTAAGGTTTCTATCCAGGAAATACCTTTTAGAAAGCATATTTTTGGACACAATTTAGTGTGTGTATTTAATTTGTTTTCTCAAACTTGGCATTTCTAAAAAGTATCATCAGATAAATATTTTAAAAGAATATTTTTGTTGGTTGATTGACCGTGCCAACAAGGCTTCAGGAAATTTTCAAAACTTCATCTGGCAACACTGACAGTATCGAAGTCCTAGAACGGTAGACAGAAATCAAATCAGTCGGATTTTGAAAGGGGTTGGGTGTACATCATTCTACAATATATTTACGATTTTGAAGGTTATCCATACATCTCGAGACGTTTAATCTTTTAACAATAAAAATAATTAAACGTCCGGTTGTATCTATACTGCTCATGTTTTTGTTGCTGTTTCAGCATAAGTTAAAACAAGCATTAAAAAAATGACTAAAAATCAACTTTAAAAAAGGACAATTAGCAAAATAATTATAAAAAATTAAATCAAAGGTTCAAAAATACCTCCCTGTTGTGCTTCGCAATAGCCAAGACGGTTATAAAACTCTGACCTAACTTTAGCTAACATAACAGCGGGGATATTTTCTAACGACTGAACGATTTTTAATCGCAGCTCGTCAATATTCATGGGTCGTTCATGGTTATGGCCATAAATGGAGTTTTTTACATATCCCCACAGAAAGAAGTCATTGGGCGACAAATCAGGAGAACGTGGTGGCCAATTAATTGTGCCTTGTGTGGAAATTAGCCGATTGGGAAATGTGGTTTGAAGGAACAGATTTACGTTCCGCGCGTTATGCGCAGGACAGCCATCCTGCTGAAACCACACTTCCTCAAAATTGATTGGCAAATTTCGAACTGCTGGTACAATTTGGTTTTGTAGCATATCCAAATATTTGGCAGCTGTTAACATACCATCAATAAAAAAAGGCCCAATGATATGATTTTGCAGCATGCCAGCCCAAACATTTAGTTTTTGTGGATATTGTGTCCGCAGTGCCATACTAAGGTGCTTATTTTCTCGAGACCAATAACGTACTATCGAAGGATTGTGGTAGCCATGTAAGGGAAACGAACTTTCATCTGAGAATAATATATTTTCCAAAAATAAATTATTCCGATCGGCTCTTTCTCTTACAGCCTCGCAAAACTCCAGACGTCTGTTACAATTTGCGGGAAAAATTTCTTGCGTGGTACTGATTTTGTAGGACTTATATCCATGCTTTTTTAAAACTCTGCGCACCGTTCGAGCATTGCAACCAACTTGTTCGGCTATATTTCGGCTTGAACAAGGTTCGCTTGTTTCGACCGCGGCACAAATATTAATTTCCTTGTCGGGAATCACCTTCTCTGCGCCTTCCTTATTGTCACAATTTCTGCACGCCGCAATGCAGCCTGTTTGCTCAAATTTATGAACAATGTTGCGTACAGTTGTGGCATAAGGCACAGGGCGATCTTGAAAGGTGAACACATAACGCCCAATGACCTCTTCCACACTTGAGGAAATGTAAAACCATTTAACGATATGCACCTTCTCTTCGGTCGTATAAATAGCCATTTTTGAAACACTTAACGTACACACCGAAACAGCTAGGCGAAAAGAATGATGCAAAAATAGTTTGGATCTCAGGTGATCTATTTCCTTTCCCCACCTTTTCATCTACATAAAGGTGCGTATTCACTATCCGAACGAACGAATGCTACTATCCAACGAGCGAACGTCCAGTCTTGTTCGCGCGGTTCTATAATTCTCATTCGTTTGCGAACGTCTTTGATATACCGAATGGAAACAGATGAGGGAGCGAACCGAATGGCGAACGGCCGCATGCATTCGGTTTGCTGTCCAAATATACCGAATTTCATTCCTTTGTTCTTTCGGATAGTGAATACGAACCTTAACATAAAGCACCGCCCCTCTCAATGCGTTCTCCCACCATGCTTATGCTTTACTTGCCCACACCCGTAAAAACCGGCAACACTGTATCGGTCGCACCGGCTTCTCGCCGGCCCCTTTTGATGCTGTCTCTCTGTCTGTCAACCGGTCATTTATATTATTCTCTGTCTTACACGTTAAAATCCTATACACAGTAATCAAATGACCAGGTCGGTATATATATATATATATATATATATATATATATATATATATATATATATATATATATATATATATATATATATATATATATATATATATATATATATATATATATATATATATATATATATATATATATATATATATATATATATATATATATATATATATATATATATATATATATATATATATATATATATATATATATATATATATATATATATATATATATATATATATATATATATCTTGGAAGTATTGGTAAAGAAACGAAAAGAAGTCATTATTTAAAAGTTAAGTAAGTTACTATTTTCAACTTCAGTTGTTTCACATGGATATTACATACATCATTACATCATTATTATTAGCTGTTTCCGATTTTAATTTTCTGTTGGGTTTTGTTGGTTTACATTTAGTTAGTTCACGGTGTTCTTAGTATTGTTTTAGTTAATTCAGCTATTTAGTTTAAGTTTCTTAGTTTTCTTAGTTAGTTTCTTATATATATATATATATATATACATATATATATATATATATATATATATATATATATATATATATATATATATATATATATATATATATATATATATATATATATATATATTATTATTATTTTCTATTTCCTTTTTAGCCTGCTAGGCACAAAAATTGATATGTAAATATGCAGGGTGCGTTTCAAAAAACATGTGCCATCTCTCGTAGGGTGATTTCTCACGTAAAAAATGAGATTTATTTTTCATATCAATATAGGTCCGATTCTGCTATGTTTCGTAGCTACAGGGTGTTAAAATCATAATATATTTTGCATTGATTATAATTTTCTTCCCACTACTTTCAGCTTTTCGAATGAAAGTTACTATAAATACGACATATTCTAAAGCTAAAAAGTCTTGTCATATTCACCAGGGACGTGAGTATGGGTTATCAGTGAAAATTTTTCTAAAAAAAAAAACAGGTACGCCAGTGTTGTTTTCGCGACCTACAATCATCACTTTAGTTTTTTGTTGAATTGATGCGAAGACCGAACTATCTCCTGGTAGTTTCCAATCATGTTAGAATTGTTTGCAGTTCTAGTTGGTTATTGGTTTGCGGTTACCAATACTGTATAATGAGCAAAACGTAGGTTTGACATTTTGTAGCCATTCAATGATACAACGTCTGCCCACTCCTCCAGTACAATCCTCATAATATATTTGCTATAAATGTAAAACAGCATTGGGTACAGTACGCAGCCCTGATCTACATTTTTTCTTATCTAACATGTAATAACTAGATATCTTTAAAATTGGTCCAGCCATTTTTGAGTTGTAAATTACTTTGTTTTATGTGTTTTTTTTCTGATATTGTTTCAGCTCCTTCCTCATCGGTGGACATGTATGTCCACCTTCAAGGCACCTCCACCACGACCTGGAGCTCCCGAAATAGAGCAACCGTCCGTCAACAGTCTCAATGGAAACCTGGAAGAAACTGCTCCGACGATGCCAATTCTCTGGTCAGCTCCAACGGGTCTCGCAAAATAATCACCGGTCTAAGAAAGACCAACGCGGAGCGTAGCCTATGCAACAAAAAGCGGGTCATCAGGATGCTCTGCGTGGTGGTAATGGAGTTTTTTGTCTGCTGGACACCGCTCTACATCATAAACACTATAGCATTGTTCGATAAAGAATTTGTTTACAAAAATATCGGCTACACTGGCATTGGATTTTTTCAACTTCTGGCCTACTCGTCCAGCTGCTGCAATCCTATCACTTACTGTTTCATGAATTGCGGATTTAGGAAGAGTTTCGTAAAATTGTTCAGATGCTTCAAATCAAATCCGGACAACAGAAATTTTCAGCTCGAAGGCAGCGACGGACAGATGGACTTGAAATTCGTGCACAACCGTTGCGCCGATTTTACTTAAAAAGTGACACTATTAAGTAAAATCGGCGCATTTGACTCATTTAATATCTATCCAAAATTTAATTGGTCAATTTTTGAAAAAAGTCTCAGTTTTTCGCAACCGCAAGAGAAATTTACAAAATATTTTTTATTTGAAACTATGTAACAAAAGGATAAAAAATGATGGAATGTACTGGGTGAATCAGCGATAAAGTTTAATCTTATCGGTTTTACCTCGTTATGTAATTGATTCAAGTAATGTCAATGTCGTCTGATTTCCTAGCGACGCGACGTCTGGCGTCCGCAGACTGCCGTGCACTGGGCCCGAATTCTGGAACTTCGACATATAAACGTTACGCTTTTAAAGCGGTAAGCGAAAGTATTCGATTAGCAAAACACCAAACAGTCGATTTTAGTATTCTCGTTGCCGTGCGAATCGCTTTCTGGATACGTGTTGAGCACATATTGACAGCATCGCAATTTCTCAGGTATCTAATATAGTCAAATGTGGATAGAACAAACCAAACCACAGACCACACTTCTTAGCATTTTCGATGTTATGAACAATATTTCTAGCTCTCTCTCTCTCTCTCTCTCTCTCTCTCTCTCTCTCTCTCTCTATCTTTATTCCTACAAGAGGAATGTAGTGGTCAGGTGATGTGTAAGGTTTGTCTTCATAATTCCCTGTCTTGTGCTTCATGTACAAGCGTGTGCAGTGGCTTGTGGGTGATCTTTGATAGCTGGTCTATCCATCGGAAGGGCAAGCGGCCTCTTAGTCTTCTTCCCGGAACATTGCCCTGTATAATGAGTTTTTCCATACACTCAGTATCCTTCCTCATAACGTAACCGAAATATTTAAGTATACGTGACTGTATAGAAGTTGAGAGGCGTTCTGTGATGTTCAGTTCTTGGATTATGGATTCATTGGTTTGCCGGGCAGTCCAGGGAATTCTGAGCATTCGTCGCCAACAGTACATCTCAGTTGCGTCAATTTTTTTCATTTCTGACTGTCTCATCGTCCAGGACTCGGAGCCATACATTAATATAGGAAATATTAGGCAGTGAACAAGCTTTTTTTTAAGTGTTTAGATATGTTTTTGTCTCGCCATATCGTTGAGAGTTTTCGCACTGCCACTCTTGTCATTTCACATCTTCTTCTTATTTCCCTTTCTAACGATTCCGTGTTGTTTATAAGTGACGCAAGATATATATATATATATATATATATATATATATATATATTATATATATATATATATATATATATATATATATATATATATATATATATATATATATATATATATATATATATATATATATATATATATATATATATTGACTTACAACCTCAAAACGACCAATGCTCACACATCAGGTTTGTTGTTGTTTTGCCTGTCGATAATCATAATTTTTGTTTTAGAGGGATTCATTTCAAGTCCAAGTTTCTCGCTTTTGTCTTCAACCAATTTTAGAAGCTGCAGTAACTCTTCCTCGTTTCCCGCTAGAAGGACCGTATCGTCTGCAAATCTGATGTTGGTAATTTTGTGACCATTAATTGTTATCCCTCTTTGCCAATGTTCCAATGCCCTTCTCATGATATATTCAGTATATACATATATTGAATAACTGAGGAGATAGTATGCACCCCTGCCTAACACCACAGGTAGGCTGGAAGTCTTCCGAAGTAACGCCATTGATGGTAATTCTACTTTTGGTATTTACATAGAGATTCTGGATCAATGAAATCAAATGAAGAGGCACGCCCATTTTTTTAAGAACCATCCATAGTTTTGACCATTTGACTTTGTCAAAAGCTTTTCGATGGTCTGTGAAAGAAATATAGAGCGGATTGCTAAATTCTCGGGCCTTTTCGATAATGACGGACATTCAAAATTTGTTCACGTGTTCCTCGACCTCTTGTGAATACTGCTTGCTCTGGAGGGATTTGTGGTTGAATATACGGTTTTACCCTTTCGTTAATGATATGAAGAAGAATCTTACTGGCATGTGAAATTAGCGCAATGGTACGAAAGTTGTCGCATTTGGCTGGAGATCCTTTTTTGTGGATGGTTATTATGGAACAATCGGTCCAATCTGATGGCCATTGGTGAGTATGTCATATCATATTACATAACTTGTGCAAGATGTCCACACCAAAATCTCCCGACGCTTGGAGCATTTCGGCCGTGATGTGATCTGGTCCCGGGGCTTTATGATGTTTTAGGTTTTTTATTGCTGCTTCAATTTCCGACTTCAGTATGTCTGGTTTTTCATTAATTATATCACTGTGGAAAGAGCAACTAGGCTGAGGATCTTTTTCTTTATACAGTGCTCAGTATGTTCAGCCATCGTCCCACTATTTCTATAATTTCGGTTTTAAGTTGTCCTCGTTCGTCTTCTATTGCCCATGTTTTTGGCTTGAATTCTCTTGTGAGGTACTTTATCTTTTTAAATAGATCCCCTGGTTGATTTGTGAAAGCGTGAGATTCTATTTCCTACCATATTTTTTCATAGTAGTTGTTCTTGTCGATGGTGCAACTGTGTTTGATCTCTGTATTTATTTTTCTATATTTATCTTTTTCTAGCTACCAAGTCGTAAATTATCAATCACCTTATTGAGGAATTTTTAGAAGAAGAAGTAGATTTCAGTAAAGAGCAAGAGCACACACAAAATCACAATGTTTTCTATTTTTACTGACAGTTCAACAAGCAAAACGATGCTTCAAGTTGCTTTAATGCCGTTTTCGAATCGCTTAGCGCAATCAATAGATAAGCGCGTCAGATGAGAATACCCAAATCGGTAGTTAAGTGCGCGCTAAGCGAAAATTAACGTCATATACGCTGAGCGTCTAAAAGGGCACAGCGTTTTCTAAGTTACAGAATTCTATTTTTTTTTTAATATCTCTGATGGTATATTTGATACACGTCTTCCATGCATTGAAATGGGTTATTGATATATGATACAAAAAAATATTGTTTTATTTCTTAATTTCCTTCAAGCCGATGCAGAAATTATCTTCAGACAACAGTCACCGCATCATATTTTCAGGGATTTAACCCTGAAATAAACTGACTTAAATTTTCTTAAGCATAAACTATGCGTCGCGTCGGACGAAAAAATTAAGAGATAAAAATTGTTGAGAAATGAATGGAGATTTAGAAAACAATTTTTATTATAAGAGAAGTCAGTGGTATACCATTCTTTTCGGCAAAAATAATCAATGTAATCAACGGTACACGTACATATGGACGGCACTGGTTGAAATAAATAAAATTCTTTGTACACCAAAAGAGGTATTTTGATGCATAGAAGACGTGTATCAAGTTTCATAAAGAAATCTGTAATAAAATTAGTTATTACAGTCAACAATTCAATATAATTTTGGATCACGTGTATTATATGTATATAAAAGTATATTTAATGGATTTATAATAAAATAATATTAATGTTTAGTATTAAGTTATAATAATATCGGATACATAGACATATTGGTTTCGAAACATGACATACTCATCCAGCTCAGGCAATTCTATACTACTATTTAATAAAATGCGGATTTCGAAAAAGTTTTTTTAAAATTCCTCAATTACTTTAAGTCGAAAACAGAGTAGAGAACAGAAATTTTCAAATGAAAGGCATTATCATTTCAGATGGATCTGAAATTCCTGTAACAACCATTATGCCGATTTGCTTTAAAGTGAAGCTTTAAAGCAAAATCGGTGTAAATTACTTATTTAGTATCAATGTTAAATTTAATGTCACTGTAATAGTCTCAATGTTTAAAATATACAATGAATGTTAAAAAAGATATTGCTTTACAACTACCCGTCTCTTAAATAATTCTTAAGACTGGTTTTCATAAGTCAAATAAACTGATCAAGTCACACGAATTCAACAGACTTGAAAGAGTATTCCGTGGGTACACATTTGATATCGAAAATCTTCTGCTAGTTGCTTCAAAATGGTGGTAGCGCGTAAGGCAGTACTTTAAACTGCGAAAATTTAAGCAGTATAATGGATAGAATAATAAAGGATCCGGCTGTATGATTGTTACGCTTATCGTACTTTTAATCAAGATCCAATTTTTAAGTATATTTATGAATAGGAGGATACACTTTCCACAGGGTGCCTATCAAAAACCTGCCGCAACTAGGGGTTGGCAGGTTTCAAAGTTTTACCTACGAGCCCGGCAACAGTGCGTCGGGCATCTGTAGTTCCTATAATAAAAAACTTAGGAATATTGTATAAGTGCCAAACTAAAGTATATACTAGGAAGTATTTCAGGAAAATATTTTAACTTCTACATGATGGCTCAAAAAAGTGTGAGTGGATCGGTATATGTCTTTTTAAATTGTACATAGAAATACTTGTATATTAGTCTCTCATTACCCCTGTATATTATTGCATTTTTGGCTTCCTTTCTGATCACTTTACATAATCTTAACAGGTTATCACAACCAAACATTCTAAAATATAATTTTCCTTCTTTTTTGAAAAATCTTTGAGACGCGACAACCCCTAATTGCGGCAGGTTTGGGTTTTTTAGATACCCTGTGAAAAGTGTATTCTCCTATTCATAAATATACGTAAAAAATAGGTCTAAAAATACTATGCGCTTAACAATCATTCAGCCGGAATTTAGACTAGAATGTTTTTTGCGTAAATAAACTAGACGTAAAAAAAAAATAGGTCAGAAAGTAGATCATTCGCAGAACTACTTAGGTATGGTGCATAATTTAATATCTAAGCTACCTACAGTTAGAAAACCATAGAGATTGCAAAAAAATTAAGGAGGAATGTAAAGCATTTAATTTTTTTTTTTTGAAAAAGTTGCACTCAGAAGTCAAAATGAACAGACATCAATGTATAACGCTATTTCTCGTCAAGCTAGAAATTACTACATTTTCCTTAATTTTGTATTTCGGATTCTGTATGTTCCATGTACATTCGTATCTTGCATAAAAAAATCATAAAATTTTCTTCTGACCTGCTTTGACTTAACCACTTAAACATCAAAA